GGCATTCAATTTTTCAACAATAACAAATTCAAAAGGATTAATGATTATACGAAGTTCATCCCTAAAAAATTCAGCAAGTTCCTCTTTATATCTTAGGATCTGTGCAATCAATTTGTAAGTACTATTCCATCTAATGTTGATATCTCTGGCAAAACTTATTTCTTTTTTACCCTTAGACTTACAGAACATCTTCCAGGATCTCGAAATAAGACGAGCCCCCCAAATTTTTTTAATTCCTTCTTTAATATTTGTCAAAACTCCGCCCATAGCTTGTAGTCCCTGTTGAACACATAAATTTAAAACATGACAGGCACACCGTTGATGCAGAAATCTACCCATAGTCGTAGACGGTGGGCAAATTTCTCTAAGTCTAGGAATAGCAGAAGTATTATTAGTAGCATTATCAAAACCAATTGAAAAAACTTTTTCAGATAAGTTATATTCCCGCAGAATACTCTGAAGCAATAGAAAAATATTTTCAGTAGTATGCTGATCATTGAAATCACGAAATGCAAGAACACGTTTATGCATAATCCAATCACTATCTATCCAATGACAAGTAACACCCATATAAGACAAATTATGATAAGTTTCACCCCAAATATCAGAACAAATAGCAACACGAGAATTAAAATTGAGAAAAAAACCGCGTCCGCGTGACGTCGAACCGTCGGAGGTGGCTTTAGCTTTGCCTTTACTCAATCTTCGGTTCACGTCGTCCATATCCACGGACCATCTACCGGACTCCCTTGACATTTTAATATATATTTTTGTGATATTAAAATAATATATTACTTTTGGAAAAATTAAAAAAATTTCGAAATTTTATATATTAAAATTTCGAAAATTTCAATAAATAAGAGAATATATTTAAAATATAAATTATATATTTATATTTTCTCACTCGTCTGCTTTTGAGAGTTCCGGTCTTTCTTGAGACATCCGGCTCTTTGCTGACTATTTCGGATAAGTCATTCTTAGACTCCCAGGTGAGAAAGAAGTCCGCACTAGTCTTCCGATCCGGATGACTTAGCCTTCAGTGGGTTGTAACGAGGCACCCGGTTGTCATGGAGTGTTCCGGATTAGAGAATCTTCAGAGTAACCAAGTGCTTTGAGAGTTCCTTACTTGTCGCTGACATTTCCGATCAAGAATTCCAATTTCCATATCACTGAATTTGATTAAGTCTTCAAAGATTGATATCAAACCATAGAGTGAAATATCACAACTCTATTGGAAATCTCAAGAACTCGGTTTTAACAATATTTTTAAAAATAAAAATTACATTGAATATTGGGGGTGACCTAAAGTCGCTATTACAATCTAAATACATCATCATCAAAATCTATAATATTTTTCCCAACAATTTCCTCCTTTTTGATGATGACAAACAAGTGTTTAAGAATTCTGGTCGCTGTACTGAGAACTAATTTTATAACTTTCTTTTAATTTCTCATAATATACAGCTTGTTAACAAAAACTCTTAAACAAATACAATTCAAATTACAACAGTTCCTAAACCAAGTCTTGTCTTGAGATTTGTGATATTTCTACCATTTGCTGCTTTTATCTACAACGGATTTTGCTTGAAAGTTCAGATGGCATTGTGTTTAATGGATCTTAATATCCAAAATGGACACTGAGACCTTGGAAGCAACAACTCTCCAAAAAAAATAAAGAGAAATAAAGAAAATAAGAGTAAAAACGAAAACAAAAGATTGTTTTTAGAAAGGGAGGGGAGGAGGAGCTGGTGAAAGGCAAGAAAAAGATAGAAGGACAAGAAAAAGTTTTGGAAAAAAAAATTAAGAAGGAAGATAAAATAAGGGTTTTGAAAAAGAGTTTAAGGAAAGAAAAAGATGGTGACTAGCAAAGAAAAAGTTTTGAAAATAGAAGGGGAAAGAAAACCAGAAAGTTGGAGACAAGCCGGGGAAGAGAGAAAGGCTTGCATCATAGCTGTTTTTTAAAAAAAGAGGGGAAAGAGAGGTAGGGAAAGGGAAAGAGGAAAAAGAAGTGGAGACCTGAAATCAATTTTTTAAAAAAATAAAGAAATAGAGAGAAAGAAGGGGGAGAGATGAAAGTATGTCAAAAAAGATTTTAAAAAGAAAATTTGAAAAGAAAAAAATAGAAAAGGAAAAAGATGAAATGAAAATGGAGAGAGTGTTGTTCCAGAGAAGATGTGTGGCGAGATGCAAAAGTATGCGAGATTCTCACCAAACACCTTCTCTACTTCCGAGATTCCCACCATACACCTTGAATATCTTTTCTTCTCACCAGGCTCTCTCCATTGCCGTCTATGAGGGTGAGAAAGAAAAATTTCTCCATTGAGGATAATTTTCTAGATGGTTTTCTCAAGCAGTGAGTTTGAAGACTTTTCATAGTGTGAGAATTTATTTGTGATAGGAATGGATTGGATTGGTTTAAATAGGGGGAGGAGATAGGAAGGGGAGGTTCACGGGTTCCATTAAGTGGGTAGTTGGAACGGTGAGAGTAAAAGAGTTTCAACTTCCAAGAAGTTGAATTTTGAAAAGTTGAAGGAATCTTTTACCAGTTACCAATGTGTTGAAACTGTTTTAATTACAATCAGTTTCGTTTGGTTTGAAAAACGTAACTGTTCTGGTTTGGCTAAGCCCAAAAGAATGACCCAAAAAGAATCTATACACTAAATAGAAAATTATTCCTATTGGGTTCTCAAGGCCCAAAATAAAACTATTATTTTTCATTCCCTATAGTTCTAATTTCTAATTAGGACGAGGTAGTACCAAAAAAAATATAAATTTCATTTTTAAAAGAAAAGTGGTACTAATTTTCCAAAGTCCTGTACATTAAAAATCCTAAGGACCAATACTTAAGAGCGAGAGAGGAAATAAACTAAGAAACTCAATTTTAAGAAGGCAGATTTTGTAGAGTACCTGAATCGGAGATCTCCAACTCTAGTACCAGAATTGAGGTATCTGTCTTCCATTGCTTAGAGTTTACAAGTAGTTTATTACCAAAAAGCAATTGTTAGCCGAAACCAGTTAAGTTCCCCCTGAATGTATGCATTAATAAGTCTCAAAGATTATAGTTCAAGAAAATATGTTCAAGCATAATTAAGAGATGTATCAAAAGTGTTTAAGTAGAGACTAATGTTTAAACAAGAAGGTGTTTTCATCAAAATATAAATGATGTATCAAGACTTCCCCCTGTTTTGATGAAAAGAGCCTTCAATTCTTCTTGCGCTTGGATGATCCGGCAGCTTCACCAATGCCTTGCATAACTCCACATTCTTCCTTGATGCGCTTGAGATTGTTATATCTCTCCTTTGTCTGAGCATCATTTGTGAAGTGGGAGGCAATGGTTCCTATAGCTTCTGTTCCATCAAACTCAATGTTTGACAAATGTTGTATTGAGTTCTCCAGATTGCTCTGCCGGGCTTCCAATATTAGTTCCGTCATGTTCACATGAGTTGGAATCTTTGCAAGCTTTCCTTGTTTGACTTCAATCGGAAGTCTTGGAATTGGAGGTAAACTATTGTATTGGACAGTCACATCTAATTTGTGTTTGGCAGTGAAGGTTCCAAAGTGCTTGAAACGCTTGAATGCCTCCTTCTGATTGTCAGCAAGAACCTTCAGGTAATCTTGAGTTACCACTTGGTTTTCTGATGATACTGCCAGGGCGGGCCTGATGTCCATTTGAAGAAATGACATCTGCTTCTGAAGGCTTGTTGTGACACTCGCAATCTGCTGCTTGATTTCCATTGCTTCTTTGAGTTGAAGATGGCAGTCAGAGGCATAAGCCATCATTGTATTGCTCGCAGATTTACTCAATAGAGAGATGATCTCTAGAGTTTTGTTCACCGATTGGCTTATTTCCTTAAGGTTTGAGCTATATTTTTCTTCATTTTTCTCTAGAATTTGACTGTGCCTCATTTCTACCTTCTCTAGGTCTTGCCTGAATGATGCTTTCCATGCTTCCAGGGCTGATTCAATCAGCCCTTGGACCTTCCTGGTCCAGGGTTCCGGCATTTCATCTGGAAAGGTGGATTTGGAAGAGCTGTGAAAGTGAAAGTTTGTTACCTGATTTGAAGAAGCTACCCTTTGATAGAGTTGCAAAGGAAGGGATTCAGCTTCTTCTCCTTACTCAGCTTCTTTTTCATCAATCCTTAGGGTCTTCACTGACTCTTCCTTAGTGTCTGCATTGCCGTAGTTTGAGATATCCCTAGAAAGTGAATCTCTTGTTGCATCTTCAGTTTGTTGCTCAAAAATAGCAACTGGAGTTTCAGTGGCCTTGAGTCTAACTATTTGAGCACCTTCTTCAGCTTCTTTAAAGCTTCTCAGTGCTTCTATTGCTGGTTCCTTGTGAGCTTCTTCTTCTGTATCTTTTGGAGGAGTGGACTTCTCCAGGTTATCTATTGACTTCTCCGGAATTTCAGGTTTAGTTGGGTTGGAGATCTCTCAGGGGGTTGTGAGAATCTCTTGAACCTGAAACTGTAGAGATTTCAGAACCTCTTCTTCATATGTTTCTTGATCTCTTTGCGGAGTGACGGCATTCCCTTGGACAGCTTCAGTAAGAATAGCATCAAAGACAAGAGAGGTTTCCAGAAATACTTGGAAATCCTCTACTTCAGCTTCCATGTCAGCTTGTGCTTCAGCAGTGATGTTCTCAGCCTGGTTTTCAGTGTGATTACCAACTGAATTGATGAACATGGGTGTGTACACAGCTATATAATCATCATCAACCTCAAATTCTGGGAGTGGAGAAGTGGTCAAGTGCTCCAACAGAAGATCTTCATTTTTTTCTACCATACCCACTCCTCATCCAGAATTCTCTCACAGTGGCAATTAACTGGCAGTCCCAAACACCTCTTAATAACCTTCTCATTTTTCAGTTGTTGATCCCATTCAAGCAACTGATCTGCAGAGTTTCCAACCTTCCATGCTTTCCAAACATAGTAGAGCTGTAAGAATTTGCTCACTTCATCAGTTCGGGCTTGTGAAGAAGGAGATGGAGGACTCTGGTCTTGAGGGGTTCCTTCATCAACCTTTTGAGGATTGTCCTGTGATTGATCATGCTCTGAGATATCCGGATTGGCATTTCCGGTTATAGAGGGAGAAGATATTCTTCTCTTCTTCTTCTTTTGAAGTTCTCCTTGTGCAAAAACTTCATTTTCTTCATCCAGATTAACTAAGGCAAGGGTGTGTGGTTCCTCTAGGGGAGGGAGAAACCACTTGCTTCCTTTTTGAGGAGTTCTTCAGACTCACAATGAGGACATTGTCAGAAGAACCTTCATCTTCTGCAGTTGAACTAGCACTGTTTTCTCCTTTGAATGACAGATAGTAGAGCCAATATCTGGCATCATACTTCTTGTCTTCAGAGGCAACTCCCAAGGATTCCAGAATGTATCCAAGGTACAATCCTTGACAGAGATACTTCTGCTTGGGTTTCCCTAAGTGCTTGGAAACTGAATTGAAGAAGTGTTTGGCCCAATTTACCTTGGTCCTGGTAATGAGGGCGTTGATGATGAATGTCCTTTCCTGGGTTATGTCATCTGCATGTCATCCACTACCACATTCCAGACATGCAATGACCAGCGCCAAGACCCATTTGTAGTCGTTCTTCAAATCGGCCTTTTTGGCTGGGCCAGAGGGGATTTGTCCAGAAATCCCAATTGTGTTCCAGTCCAGATTTTTGGGGAGAGCTTCCCAATGTCAATTCTAGAATTGGGAAGATGGAGCTTCTTCTTCAATTTCTTCTGTGAAATCCTTACTTTGGCGCCTCCAACAGTGGGCTCAATTACTAGAATTGTCCTCTATGGATTCTTCTTCGATTGAACGGTTGAGACTTTTCCATTCTTGTAAAATTCAAGAACTTCTTCTTCATATTTGAAGCGAATTTCCATATGAAGGAATTCGGAGAGTTCCTGAGCAGCAATCATATCCAAGTATGTCTGATAGAACGCCGGTGAAGAGCATTTGGCTTCTAATTTCTGGAAATAAACATTTGCGCCAACAACCTTCATTTTTGAATTTTTTTTGGGAGAAAGAATCTAAAGAAATTAGGGTTCTTGAGATTTCTCGCGAAGAAGACGACGAAGATTTGAGTGGGCTGAGTGGGCAGTTGAGATCTGATTGTAGTGGCGATTGGGTTTTGATTTTGGGGGATTTATGCGGATGGTGGCAATTGGGTTTTCAATTGTTCCCTAAGGCCACGTGCCTACCCATTTCTTTATCAGACGTGGTAAGTGGACTGCCATGTGTACCACACTCAGTCTAATTGAATTAGACCAATTTTGTGAAGCAATTCGGAAAACCTAGCTTCACTTAGTGGTTTTGTGAAGATATCCGTCAATTGTTCTTCGGTTGAGACGTACTCAATTCTGATATATTTCCTTTCCGCATGATCTCTGATGAAGTGATGCTTGACATCAATGTGCTTGGTGCGAGAATGATGCACTTGATTTTGTGAAAATGCTATAGCACTTTGATTGTCACAAAAGATAGTCACTTCCTTAGTTTTGACTCCATAATCCAGTAGTTGTTGCTTTAACCACAAGATTTGAGCACAACAACTACCAGCAGCAATGTACTCTGCTTCTACTGTTGATGTAGAGATGGAGTTTTGTTTCTTGCTGAACCAAGAAACAAGATTTCCGCCAATAAATTGACAAGTGCCTGATGTACTCTTCTGGTCAACTTTGCATCCGGAAAAGTCAGAATCTGAGTATCCCACTAACTCAAATGAGCTGCTCTTAGCATACCATAAACCCATATTCTGAGTTCCTTTAAGATATCTAAGATTCCTTTTGGCTGTTATTAAATGGCTTTCCTTTGGCTTTGATTGAAATCTAGCACAAACACCTACTGCATATGAGATATCCGGACGGCTTGCAGTAAGGTATAGTAGAGATCCAACTAATCCTCTGTAGAGAGTTTGATCAACATCCTTTCCATCTTCATCCATGTCAAGTTTGGTGGATGTACTCATGGGGACAGAAACAGATGACTTCTGATCAACTTTGAACTTCTTGATAAGATCCCTTGTGTACTTGGCTTGATTGATGAGAGTCCCTTCACTTCTCTGTTTGATTTGAAGACCAAGAAAGTAGTTAAGTTCTCCCATCATGCTCATCTCAAAATTTTCTTGCATGAGAGTTGAGAACTTGGTACAAAGAGCTTCCTTAGTTGAGCCAAATATGATGTCGTCCACATAGATTTGGACCAATAGGAGATCTTCTCCATCTTGAAGTTTGAACAAGGTCTTGTCAATGACTCCCTTGATGAATCCATTATCTATTAGGAATTGAGACAACGTATCATACCAAGCTCTTGGTGCTTGTTTGAGTCTATATAGCGCCTTCTTGAATCTATATACTTGATCGCCTTTGGTGTGTAACTCAAATCCTGGAGGTTGTTCCACATAAACTTCTTCCTCTATGAAACAACCTTATAGCTTCAAGTCTAGCAAAGGCTAGAAACAACCTTATAGCTTCAAGTCTAGCAACTAGAGCGAAGGCTTCATCAAAATCTATACCTTCTTGACAATAACCTTTGGCAACTAGCCAGGCTTTTTGTTTCTGACAACAATACCATTTTCATCCATCTTGTTCCGGAAGACCCACTTTGTCCCAATGACATGTTGATGAGTAGGTTTTGGAACAAGTTTCCAAACGTCATTTCTGGTGAATTGGTTGAGTTCTTCTTGCATTGCATCGATCCAATCAGAGTAAGCTAGAGCTTCTTCAATGCTCTTTGGTTCTACTTGTGAAATGAAACAAGCAAGCATGGCTTCTAGATTCTGTTGAGCACTTCTTATGCAAACGCCTGATTGAATGTTTCCAATGATTTGTTGAGGAGGGTGATCCCTTAACCAACGAAGATTGTGTTGATTGGGATTGACTGGCTGATCTAGTTCAACTTTTGGTTGAAGAATGGAGTTTGTTGGTGTTTCCGGATTGGTTGGCATCTGATCACCACTTCCAGAATTGTCGCCATGTGAGAGATCCGGGATTTCGGAAGGCTGGCCGTGATTTCCGGTAGGCTCAGCACTGTCTGAATTCGGATTCCTCTGTAAAGTCTTCAATGGCAGACTTCCGAATGGAATGAACTCCATAGGCTTCATTCTATCTCCTTCATTGACTTCTACATCTTTGTCTAAGAGATCCAAAACCTCATGATCATGCTTTGATGGCTTGTCAACCACATGTTTTTCATCAAAAATAACATGTATTGACTCTTCAGTGATCATGGTTCTTTTGTTGAAGACTCTGAACGCCTTGCTCAATAGAGAGTATCCAAGGAAGATGGCTTCATCTGATTTCTCATCAAAAGTGTTTAGATGATTCTTCTCGTTGTTTAACACAAAGCACTTGCTCCCAAAAATATAGAAATATGATATATTAGGCTTTTTCCCATTCCATAGCTCATAGGGAGTTGTGTTGTGCCTTTTATAGATCATACTCCTATTTTGAGTATAGCAAGCTGTGTTTATAGCTTCAGCCCAGAACCTCTTTGGTAAGAAAGCTTCTGCCAGCATGGTTCTTACTGCTTCCTTCAGGGTTCTGTTTCTTCTTTCAGCTACACCATTCTGCTGTGGTGTTCTTGCTGCAGATGTATGATGAAGAATTTTGTTTTCTTCACATTAGTGAATGATGATTTCATTCAGGAATTCTGTGCCTTTGTCAAATCTGATCTTCTGGATGGTCTGACTTGCTTGATTCTGAATCAGCTTCATGCAGTTTGTGAGCTTCCCTTGAGTTTCCTTCTTGTTGTTTAGAAAGATTTTCCATGTGTATCTTGAATAGTCATCAACTACTACTAAGACATACTTCTTTCCACTTAGGCTTATTGGAGTTACAGATCCAAATAAGTCCATGTGAATAAGACTTAGTATCCTTGTAGTTGAGTGTGCCGGTTTTGCCTTGAAGGTGGACTTGACTTGTTTTCCTTTCTGACAAGCATCACAAATGCTTTCCTTTTTATACACAGCTTTGGGAAGACCTCTACTCAACCTCTTATGCCAAAGCCATAGAAGGTTAGTGTCACCTTTGCTGATTAGGCATGCTTCCTTGACATCGTCCCACATTACTTCGTAGATGTTCCTGATTCTCTTCCCAGTGAGAATGACTTCATTTGTGGAGATGTTCTTGAGGGATGCCATGTCCTTGCAGAATTCTAGAGAATAACCTTTATCACAGAACTGACTTATGCTAAGAAGGTTATAGTTGAGACCTTCCACATAAGATACAGCCTGGATGGTTAGTCCCTTGTACACCAGATTTCCTAGCCCTTTTGTAAGGCCAAAATCATTGCTTCCTCCAAAAGTAACTCTCGGACCATCATAGGGAATTAGATTGCTCAAAAGGCTCGCATCACCCGTCATGTGTCTTGAGCAGCCACTGTCTAGGTTGTGCATAGTGTGACCTGTGAGGGTTGTAAGCATACTTAGGTGGAACAAATAATTTCTGAGGTGGGGGATGACTATATCTAGGAATAGTTCTCCACTCAGAGTTTCTTGGAAAACTCCTATCTACCCCATAATGAGTATAGCCTCGTGTGTAGTGGGGATTAAAAGGTTTTCTTCTGAAATTGTTTCCTCTTTGAGGTGTGTCCAGCTTCTTATAGTTCTTAGGAGGGACTACCTTTTTGGAAACTTCTGTATGTTTCTCATTTTTCTTACCTTTCTGCTCATTGGTTTTGGCAGTAGGTTTGGGAGGAATGAAAGTTTTTCTCCCTTTCCTTTTGGAACTGGAGGGGTCAAACCCAAGTCCTTCACGACCCTTATGTTTGGTCGTTTCAAGAATCTTATCCACACCTTCTTTGGACTTTAGTATCCCTAGCTTCTTGTTGAGATATTTCACCTTTTCAAAGAGAGATTCATTCTCAGCCTTGAGTTGAGTGATCTCACTCAGTTGACTTTTCCGATCTTCAGTTAACTTGAGATTCTCTTCACTCAATAACTTGTTCTCTTCTGATAGAGATGAATGTTTAAAATTTATTTCCTCAAAATCTTCCATCATCTTTTTGAACTTGTCAAAAAGATTTTCAGAAGTTGGTATGCTTTCATAAGAAGATGAACAGGAAGTTTGTGAAGTTACCTCTTGATCAGCATCATCCTTGGCCATTATGCAGAGAGTGTCATCTTCTGACATAGTCCACCGATCCTCATGGTTGGACTTCTCAGCTCTGCGTTCCATGCAGACGAGAGCTTCTTCATCCGAGCTTGAACTGGATGACTCATCACTTTTAGCTGCTACCATTGCCTTCTTCTTCTTCTCGTTCCTTTCTCTTTTTCCGTACTTCTCCACTTTTGGGTACGGACAAGCTGACTTCCAGTGGCCAGGTTTCCTACAATTATAACACAAATAAGATTCAGGAGGGGAGTCGCTTACCTGTAGCTTTCCCTTGGATGGCCTTCTGACTGAATCAGCTTTTTTGAAGAATTTCTTGAACTTCCGGAATTGCTTGACCATTATTGCAAATTCCTCTTCGTAGTCCTCCGTCTTTGAGCTTGGTGGCTGGAGGAAGGAGTGTCACAGTTCCTTGGGCATGTCCCTTCGCTTGCTGGAACTCTAGGAGTTGTCATCAGTGCTGTGGGAAAAGGTGTAACACCCCGGCCCCCACCCTAGCCGTAAGTGTCTGCTCATAGGATTGTAGACTAGCCCCACAAACCAACACAAGTCTTTTTCCGCACACTTTGCTCTCACTCGTGAGTGCCCAAGAAAAACTTCCCAAAGGGTCACCCATCCTAAAATTGCTCTAGGTCAAGCACGCTTAACTTTGTAGTTTTTTAGGTGATGAGCTTTCGAAAAGAAGATGCACCTTGTTGGTATGAGTAGTACTATCAATCCTTTTGAGATCTTCCCATTCCCATCTTGATACGGGGTATTACAAAAGGAGTGACTTGTTCTTCCCTCTTCTTCTTCAGCTCGTGCTCATAGGTTCTGAGCTCATCTAGGAGACCTTGGACAGTGTAGTTCTCCAGATTTCTTCCTTCTTCCATAGCTGTGGCTTTGGCGTACCACTCAGCTAGAAGAGACCTCAGTAACCTTACATTCTTTTCTTTGGGAGAAAGAACGTGGTTAAGTGATGCAAGATGATTTAAAATTTTGTGGAATCTTTCATCCAGCATGTCAAATGATTCTCCGGGAAGCATTTTGAAGCTTTTGAACTTCTAAAGCAGAACCTTTATCTTCTGCTTTCTCAGGTCCTCCGATCCCTCACACAGCTTTCCAAGACCTTGCCATATCTCCATGACAGCCTTGAGATGCTTGATCTTGGAAAAGGTGATGGGATCAAGTGTCTTGAAAATGGCTGCGTTGGCGACGTTGTCCAGATTGTGCTTTTTGCAATCTCTGTCATCCCATTTCTCCTTGGGCTTTGGAATGTACTTCACTACATCCGGGTTTGTTGGATTCCATTCTAGATTTTCCATTTGAATCTTCAGGGGTCCATCTTCAAGCACCATCCACATGCAATCATGTAGAGCATAGAGGTGTGCTTCCAACATGATCTTCCAATCATCATAGCCTAGAAGAGAAAATTTGGGCAAACCGTGATCCATATTGTTCATCATTATGATCGCTTCTCTTTAATCTAAAGGTAGATAGTGAGAAGACTGCTCCCATACCAATTGGTGGTCCCAAAGTGGTGAGATACAAAGTCTAGAGAGGGGGGTGAATAGACTTTGTTACAAATTTAAAAACCTTTTTCTTTTCTTTTGAAAACGTGAAAATGAGTGTTAATCTAGAGTTCTTGTGAACTTTAGATTGTGTGCAGAAGTTGGTGGGTTATTAGAGCAGTAATCAATATGGATGAGTTAGTTTCACAATTAATATAATTGCAAGTATGAGTAAAGATAAAAGAGAGAGACACGCAAACTTTAACAAGGTTCGAAGGTGGGGTAATTCTTCTACGTCCTCAAAATCCACTATGTAGTTGGTTGTTGAAAAATGATCCAACAATTACACTTGTGTGAATTTCTACACGGTATGTCTTCGCAAGGCCAATGTTGCTACTGCACACGTGCTGGCTTTGTTGTTCCTTCGAAGGTCACGCTTCTTAACAACTGCAGGATCCGAACAATAGGACTTGCAAGATCAACTTGTAGAAAAAGTTGATATGCCCCGTTTTAATCAAGAAGTTTGATTAAAAGTTGTATCCTTCAACGTGGTGTGGTACATGAGGCAAGGAAACCTTCAAGTGTTTACACTATAGCTCTTTGGAAGGATGAGAAGTTTGCGTCTGGATAAGGAGTTTAGAAATCTCTCTTTATCAAGCTTTTTGGCTAACTGTGAATGAGATAGTGTTAGTTCGTCGTTGTTGTAGTTTTGTTCGCTATCTCATTCCTTTTTTTCTCCAATCTTCCATGGAAGCTATATATAGCTGGGTGAATAATCTATCCGTTGAAGGGAATAGACTATCCGTTGCATTTGCTGGCTTCAATTTTGAACGAAGAGTGAGACTGAGGATTCTTCATTGGAATGGGTGTTTGGACATACCCAATTGTTTGAGAAAGGATTCCCTTTACACAGAGTCCGTCTTTTAGTTGTTGTTCAAGAATTCTGGACTGTAGCTCTTTATTGAGTGGAGTACCCATTTTGTCTTCTTATGTTTGTTTAGGAATTCTGGGCGAGCTCTTCAATTTGAGAAGTCCAGACTTTGTCTTCATGTCATTTGTTCTTGAATCAGCTTAATTATCCTCAATCTAGCCGTTGAAAATCAGGAAATTGATTTTTCCTTACCAACGGGTAGAATTTCTTCATTCAGGAGTTAGATAATTTTCTAAGTCTTTTCTCACTAGTCTGCTTTTGAGAGTTCCGGTCTTTCTTGAGACATCCGGCTCTTTGCTGACTATTTCGGATAAGTCATTCTTAGACTCCCAGGTGAGAAAGAAGTCCGCACTAGTCTTCCGATCCGGATGACTTAGCCTTCAGCGGGTTGTAGTGAGGCATCCGGTTGTCATGGAGTGTTCCGGATTAGAGAATCTTCAGAGTAACCAAGTGCTTTGAGAGTTCCTTACTTGTCGCTGACATTTCCGATCAAGAATTCCAATTTCCATATCACTGAATTTGATTAAGTCTTCAAAGATTGATATAAAACCACAGAGTGAAATATCACAACTTTATTAGAAATCTCAAGAACTTGGTTTTAACAATATTTCTAAAAAGAAAAATTACATTAAATATTGGGGGTGACCTAAAGTCGCTATTACAATCTAAAGACATCATCATCAAAATCTATAATATTTTTCCCTACACAGCCTTACAACGCGAAAAATTTAATCTCGCTAAAACTGTCGAGCCCAAACTAAAAGTAGAAGTTTCATTAAAATCTCGCAGGTATCTCACAAAATCGATTGGTGCGTAAATCCCCAAAGAATCCGGAAATAATAAACCACCCATATATGCATATATATGAGCCTAGCAGTATATTGAGCCACCCACTTATCAACCCATTCCTTATTTTCTTGATGTGTTTGTCCCTCAAAAAGAAAGACAATCTTGAATTGGTCATAACGACTAAATGGTTATCCTTGGTGGTCCACATCAATACATCTCTAAATAAGATATTTCGTTGTGCAATAGTTAAATTAAAACCCATGACGAGAAGTTCATAGATCGGAAGTTCTAGCAAGCATTCCACGTCTTGTAGCTATAGGGTGATGCCCATCTCACCAAAAGGAAACTGAAATGCGTGCAACTCCAATCTCCAACGCTCCACAAGAGTAGTAATTAGACCATGGTCTAATTGGATAGGTTGCACACGGTGTACTCCATAAACGTTGGGTCATGCCACACTTTATGTGAACGATGTTTAGCTTGTAAAGTAAGAAAGTCTCGCGATTTAGGACCTGCTATTTCTCTCTCAGGGTCATATACTATGCTTCAAAAAAATATTAGTGAACTTCTATCTACTCATAGTACAATAAAATGGTTAAAAAGGTACAAATGCCCTGTTTAAAAAACATATGCATTACATATTGTAAAATATAAAAAACTTATAAAGATTTTGAGAGATTAGGGATTTTACCTAATCCAATATTATTTGAACAGTATAAGTAAGCCTAATTCTGTCTGGCCTAAGATATAAATCAGATAAATTATTCAATACGGAACCAGAGATATATGGACAGAAGAATATATTTGAAGTGATGTGAAGATATTCAGCGGGACCCGCGGAACATTATCACATGGAAACCACATGGGCTTCACATGGAGAATGTTCCCTTTTGTCTCCATTAATCATCTTTTCTCCCCTTTAAATGCAAAGCTACATAGTGGAGAAGAGAGGGGCAAGATTCCTACAACATCTCCTATTAGTATTCTTCATTCTTCTTCTTCTTTGATCTTGGAGCTCCATTAATGGCTCCAAGCTCCTACAATGATGTATATGTAAATTCCTTTGAGATTACTAAAAGTTCCTCCCCTTGGCATGACACCTCCTAAAAAGGCCCGTGGTTTTCTCCCGATTAGGGTTTCCACGTATAAATACTTTCTCTCCGCTTTATTTATTTATTTATTTATTTTCTAGATTTCGCTATTCGGTGCGGTGCCGACCCAGCACCGAGTTCGTCGGGTTGACGCCCCGAAAAGCGGTTTCCATCACTGGCGCCACCTGTGGGACCTGATCCCGAAAAAGTTTTGTGCTCTGAGTCCGTAATGAAGAGAAAAAGTGATGGAGAAAGTTAAAAAAACAAAAACAAATGTTGAGTTGGGGAAAAAATTAAGAAAAGGAGGCGGGTGAGAATAGGGTCGGGGAGAAAAAAAGAAGAAGAGAGAGAAAGAGGGGATGTATAGAAAAAGGAAAAAAAGACTCCCGAGATCCATGTCGCTGCATAGATCCATCCGGTCCGCCAGCCGTACTCTCCACCAGGGACGGCGAGCAATGAGCCAGCATCCCGACCGTCGACGAGCCGTGGATGGCAGCAGGCGGTCCCCTCCGATGAACTCCCGGTCCTCTCCAGCGGGCCCTCCAGCGCTCCTCGCCTCCGGTGGAATCCAGGAGGCGGTCCCCTCTGATGAACTCCTGGTCCTCTCTAGCGGGCCCTCCAGCACTCCTCGCCTCCGGCGGGATCCAGCAAACGGTCCCCTCCGATGAACTCCCGGTCCTCTCCAGCGAGCCCTCCAGCGCTTTTCCCTCCTCCGGCAAGCTAATCACGGTCCTCTCCGGCGGTCCTTTCCGGCGATCCTCTCCTGCGGTCCTCTCCGACGGTCCTCTCCAGCGGTCCTCTCTAGCGGTCCTCTCTAGCAGTCCCCTCCGGCGGTCCTCTCCAGCGGTCCTCTCCGGCGGTCCTTCCCCCAACCAGTCCAGCAGCAGTCCTCTTCAGCAAGCCATGGACGGATCTAGCCTCACGTGGACCATTCTAACTTCATGGGTCCCTCAAATGGACAGATCTAGCCTCAAGTGGACCGTTCCAGCTTCATAGGTCCTCAAGTGGACGGATCTAGTCTCAAGTGGACCATTCTAATTTCTAGGATCTACTCGAGGGATGGATTTAGCCTCAAGTAGTCCATTCCAGCTCCATAGGATCCTCGAAGGGACCTCACCGACCTCAAGTTGTCCGTTCCGAGTTGTACAAGTTGATAAAAGTAATACTCTAAAAGAGTAAAGAGTAAAGATCGGCAATTCGATCGAGATAGATGTTCGGGTTACAAGAGATAGTCATAGACTCCCATACCAAGATAGAGAAAAGAGTTAGAAAGAGAGAGGTGGGCGGGATTGTCTATCATTCAATAAGAGCTGAGCGCCCAACCACTGTGAGATAGATATCAGGTGGCGGTTTAGAGGCCCCCAAAGAATATTGAAAAGTGATTCCCGAGAAAAGCCCTCTTCCTAGAGGAAACAAATCCCCGAGAAAAGTCCTCTTCCAAGAGGCACCGAGCTCCGAGAAAAATCCTCTTCCCCGAGGCATCAAGTCCTCTTCCTGAGGTACTAAGAAGAAAGAAAGGTCCTCTTCCAAAGAGGCACCAAGTCCTGAAAAATTCCTCTTCCAAAGAGGCACCGAGTCCCGAGAAAGTCCTCTTCCAACGAGGTACTAAGTCCCGAGAGAGTCCTCTTCCAAGAGGCACAAATCCTTGAGAAAAGTCTTCTTCCAAGAGGCACAAAGTCCCAAGAAAGTCCTCTTCCAAAGAGGCACTAAGTCCCGAGAGAGTCCTCTTCCAAGAGGCACAAATCCCTGAGAAAAGTCCTCTTCTAGGAGGCACAAATCCCTGAGAAAGTCCTCTTTCAAGAGGCACCAAATCCCCGAGAAAATTCCTCTTTTGAGAGGCACCAAGTTAAAATCTTACCCACGAGATAACGAGACCCTCCTAAAAAGAAAGTCCTCTTCCCGAGGCACTGAGTAAAATTCTATCTCACGAGGTAACCCACTGAGTCATATAGTTCTAAATCTGTCTCGTTCTCCAAGACAGACTCAAAACTAGGGGGCATGTGATGGATTAGGGATTTTACCAAATCTAGTATTATTTGAACAGTATAAGTAAGCCCAATTCTGTCCGGCCCAAGATATAAATCAGATAAATTATTCAATACGGAACCAGAGATATATGGACAGAAGAATATATTTGAAGTGATGTGAAGATATTCAGCAGGACCCGCGGAACATTATCACATGGAAACCACATGGGCTTCACATGGAGAATGCTCCCTTTTGTCTCCATCAATCATCTTTTCTCCCCTTTAAATGCAAAGCTACGTAGTGGAGAAGAAGAGAGGGGCCAGATTCCTACAACATCTCCAATTAGTATTCTTCATTCTTCTTCTTCTTTGAGCTTGGAGCTCCATTAATGGCTCCAAGCTCCTACAATGATGTATATGTAAATTCCCCCGAGATTAATAAAAGTTCCTCCCCTTGGCATGGAACCGCCTAAAGAGGCTCGTGGATTTCTCCCGATTTGGGTTTCCAAGTATAATTACTTTTTCTCCGTTTTATTTATTTATTTATTTTCTGAATTTCGCTATTCCGTGCGGTGCCGAGCCGGCACCGAGTTCGTCGGGTCGACACCCCGAAAAAGCGGTTTCCATCAGAATTATTTTAAGAAAACATACCTCAACTTTTTGGATGATTATGGAAGAATAGATAAACTTTGAATATTTAATGAGAAAAGAAGGGAAAGAATAGATAATAATTTATAGTGGAGTATGGGTTGGAGTTGAAGAGATTAGGTGTGAGAATGGATGAAATAGTGATAAAGTTTGAATATTTTGTGTAAAAAGAAGTGAAAGACTAGATTATTTGTAGTAGAATTGGAATGGGTGATAGTTGAAGGATTTAGGTGTGGAAATGGGGAGGGGAAGTGAAAATCGAAATTACATTGGGAATTCCGTCAGACTCTGAATCAGCTTTGTCAGAGCCGAAAAAAATAAATTTTGAAAAAACGACTTTATGAAAGCCGAAAATATAAAAAAACAGCTTTGTCTAACCGATTTTACCGTGCCAAGTAATTCCTTATTCAACCAGGCATTAATCGTAAAAAACGTTCCCTCGTGAGGAAACCACTCTTATTCACGCGAGTCTGGTCCGCATTGTATATGAGGGGCCAATCCTTCGGTGCCTCTTCTAAAGTGTGTAGGACCTCAGGCGCTACCAACTATTCTAAAACCAATTGGTGATAAGAAGGTGGACACTTTGTATTTAACCACATCTCTCTGTAGCCCCAAGCCGAGGAAGATTCCTATAGGGCACCCCCTATAGTTCACTACGGCAGTGCGGAGCCCCACTACTGAGCGGTGGATGGACAGGAGGGGCTTCGCAAGATACACGACTCGTGTACCTCATCAGGTTGGGCTGTCAGTACTCGATACCGTGACTAGCACAGTAGCGAATCCCTAAGGGTGATCGATGGTCCCCCATAAGACCAACAAAGTGAGGGTTTTAAAACCCTCCCCATGTGGCATAATAAGAAAGAGACATGTGGACATGACATTCCACCTCTTTTAAAAACTTAAATTATTCTTGTTAATTCAATATTGGCCTCAATCTAAAATTAATTTATTTTTACACCATGAATTATTATTTTGTTAACAGTGGGTTAACGAAACGGTCTGTTTTGTGCAATAAAATGAAAGTTGGAATTATTTTTAGTGAATTTTTGTTTTTTATTTATTTAAATATTTATTTAAGTTATTAAAAAAACTTTCTTCATAAATATCTTTTTCCTTTTTTTAAATATTATTCTTATCTTATAAAAAAATAAGTATAAAATATCAAATATAAAAAATAAGTATAAAATATTAAATATAAGATTTCAGTTATTTTTCTCATTTTTGTTATTTTTAATATCTAGTTTTTTATTTATATCCAAAGTTAGACTAATCTTTAAAAGAATATAAATGATAGAAATCAAACTAAAAATAAGAAGTAGACATATTTGCACAAGAAAACGAGATTTCAGGACATAATGCTCGTACGTCTCACAAGAATGACATTTAATCAATGAAAAAATTGATAGAAGGAAATCTGAGATAAATAAAGCAAGAGATTGAGCCGATCTAGGGTTATATTTGAAGGGCCGAACATGTCGATGGCGCTAGATGGAGATAACCACTCTGAGCGAAGGCGGCGACGATGGGAGACGGTCTTCTGAAAAATACGATGCTGGATTGGATGAAGATGGAGACGCAAAACAATTAACGAAGATGGCATTAACGTATGATGACATTGAAAAGAAGAAAAATAAATTAATTTTGTATTAGGACCAATATTGAATTAACAAGAATAATTTAAATTTTTAAAAGAAGTGAAATATTGCGTGGATATGAGGTGATAGCATGTTTTTTTTTCACAGTAGACGACGTGGGATGGACGGATCACATTATTAGAGGGGGGTAGGATATGACTCAGCAACGCGGGATCTACGTGTGGAACCAATCGGATTCCTGACACGTACACTGTCCCCCTCATACGGTGTACGTACTCCCTATATATTCAATTACCAATAATGCATTTCTTGTGTGTTAGTTGCATATATATATATATATATATATATCAATCCTCGTTCAGCGTCATCTCAACGCATACTCCGTATTGTTTTTTGTTTTCCTGGAAACTCCTCATCAAGTTCATCCTTGAAATAATTCCTGCAGCATCCAAAGAGATCGAAAAACAACAACAATAATAATACAGTATATAATTATGAAAGGAGATTCTAGCAACCCATTGGCCTTAACATCTCTCAACCACATCTCTCTTATCTGCAAATCAGTGGAGGAATCAATAGATTTCTATCAAAACATTCTGGGTTTTGTCCCCGTTAGGAGGCCCGGTTCTTTCAATTTCGACGGGGCTTGGTCTATACTCTTCTTCTTTCTTCTTTATTAATTCTTCACAAGCTAAATCGTTTATATCGTGTATGTGTGTTATGCGAATTCATATTGATTTCTATTATCTTAAAATATTGTCCGATATGGATCTGCTCTGCAGGCTGTTTAGCTATGGAATCGGAATACATTTGCTTCAATCCGAAGACCCAGAAAACTTGCCAAATAAAAGTGAAATCAATCCCAAAGACAATCACATCTCCTTCCAGGTACGTGCGAATTTTATCATACCGCTTTTAGAATATACTCTTTCTTTTGAAACAACAATTTCACCCTCATTTTTTGTACCCCATTTGTATACTAAAGGTATGCACCAACATTTTGATGGTTCATACTGACATTAAAGTGTTGGTCATTAACAAAAATTACACTGACACGAAGTGTTGATGCGTTAACAAAAATTAGCATTACACCAACTCAAAATGTTGTTGCATCTCTGCGGTGTACAAAATGAGGTACAAATTCTTGGGATATAAATAGCATTACCCTTTTTGTTTATATTGCAAAATATTTATCTCTCCTTAAATGTTTAGAATACAGGGAATATACTTAAATATCACTAAAACGCCGGTCCGGTTCTAATGACACCGGAGAACGGTGTCACTCTGGTGCCACTGGGTTTTTGGAGTACTTCCAGTGCTCCGTTTGTAAAATTGACGATTTTTACCTCCCCTAACCTACCCCCTAAATCCCCCACCCTACCCCCATCCCAACTCCGCCGTAAGCCCCCACAAAATGTGTGGTTATATTGCAATGGGTGAGGGTAGGGTAGGAGGTTTAGGGGGAGGGTTAGGGGGTATGTAGGAACCGTCAATTTTAGAAACGGGTGCTCCAAAAACCCAGTGGCACCGCTAGTGGCACCGTTTTCCAGTGTCACTAGAATCCCACCGCTAAAACATAATGAATTTCTCTAAATAACATCACATATGTTTTTTTCCAATGTAGCACTTTTAGTCATTATCCATTAGTCATTATTTAAGTAGATGTTCGCCTTCACTGGACATTATAGACATTATTAAGTACTATTTAGAAAATTAAACAGTTTAAGTGCTATTTAATGAAATGACTTAAATTCAGTGATATTTAGTGCAATTATTTCTTTAGAGTACACTCATTTCTTTCTTATTACTCGTTTAAATTATTTTTGAGGTTATTCTAGACATTCTAGGGAGATATATTGGTGAAATTTTTATTTCAAACGGAAGGATTAAAATTTTCAAGAGTCTCTAACACATACTTCAATTAAAGGCTTGAATTAATTATTGAAGTATTTACCTGAATAGGACTAAAACATAATAACTTTCTCATTATATGAGCATATGTTTTTATTTTTCAATGTAAGATCACTAGTCATTATCTATTAGTCATTATTCAAGTAAATGTCCACCATCATTGGACATTGTTTCTCCCACTAGACATTATTAAATCCTATTTAGGGAATGAAAAAAATTTAAGTCCTTGGAAAATAACTTATGTTTCACTCCTATTTAGTGCAAATTTCACCTAATTATTTCAATTAAAAGAAAAATGACCTTCGTCCCTGAAAATCTTTCTCTTTTATTTTTTCATCTGTTCCAAAAAACATTTCTTATTTCTATAAAAAAGTCACTTTTACCCCTTGCCTTTTAATACCTTAACTCCCACATTATAATTTTTTACTAATAATCTACATATCAAATCCCACTTTTAGCCATCACATCAAAAGACTTATTTGAAAATTAAATACCAAAATATACTTCCTTTAAATCTCTTAAAAATCAATAACTCGCATGATTTTAGGACCATCGAGAGTATTTCTGTATTCAAAAGTCAAATTTTATTATTTTGTTGTCATATTTTTGTTGCTCATTTAAAAAATAATATAGTAATGTCACATCTAGTTTTGTAGATATTTTGATGTGATTTTTAAACATGTAATTTTTATTTTTTAATTCTATATGATTTTTTAATAACTTCAAGCAAACATCTTAACACGCAATGATAATATTATTGTTAGAGGGAGGGAGTAATATTTTTGTGAGAAGATTTACAACTCTCGAATTCTCTAGGAATTTAGAAAACAAATTTTCCTTTCCGTCTAAAAAAAGTTCTATTTTCATTTTTTATCTGTTCCAAAACAATGCCACTGCCCTCTTCATCGGTCATTTGTGATGTACCTCTAATCCAAGTGGAAAATTACTTTTAAAATGGAAGAATAAGGCCATGTTTGGTAAATGACGGTTCACCTATCATTTGGCATCTTTGATCATAAATGGCGGAATGGACTAGTCAAACCGCCAAATTAATTGTTTGGATAATGGCTTTTGGAATTGGCATTTAGAACCGAACCGCCAAAAATTGAAATGCCAACCCTAGCAGCATTTCACTTAGCAGTTCACCCTCTTTTCCGTTTCTTACCCTTTTCTCGGTGTTGCAATCCTCACGGCACCAGAATTGGTGTAGAGTATTTTTATATATTTATCATATCATATTTAAAATAAAATATATCATGCATGATTGTTATTTGTAGAATGATAAATGAGAAAAATACAAAAAAAAATCTACTTATAAAATATAAATGTAGATTCTCATTTCTTAAATTAAAAAAAAACGAAGTAGCCTTTTTTGTCCAACAAAAAAAATATATGACATCATATTTAAAAAATTAAAATTGGTGTATAGTATATTAAAAATATATGATATCATATTTAAAATTGGTGTAGATTATTTTTATATATTTATGATATCATTTTTAAAAAATTATAAAATAAAATATATCATGCATGGTTGTTATTTGTAGAATGATAAATGAAAAAAATACAAAAAAATCTATTTATAAAATATAACTGTAAATTCTCATTTTTTAAATTAAAAAAATGAAGTAGCCTTTTTTGTCCAACAAAAAAATATATGTAAAGCATTTTCTTGTATAATGTGTGTATTTTATCAAATTAAAAAAATTTAAAATCATACACAAATTTTCATAAATGGAGGGATGTCCTTATGTAATTTTACTCACAAATAGCTAACTATAAACAGCTAAAGTTGCCAAACATCTCATTTTTAACAGCTAACAGAAACAGCCGGTCAAAATAGTTTTGAAAAAATTACGTCCTTTAATGTCTGTTTTATTTCTATTAGAAAATTACTTTTACCCCTTACTTTTTCATACCCTAAGTATCACATCATATCTTTTTTCTAATAATATATCTATCACATCATACTTTTAACCATCACATCAAGGGTATTTTTGGAAAATCAACACCAAAATATCCCTCCTTATTTTACCACTTAAGTCAAAATGGACAAACTTTTTAGGACAGAGGGAATATTAATTATTAACTTACTTATCAAATCATATTTATTTAATATTAATTTATTCAACACATCTTATCTTACATTACAAAAAAGTAAAGGCAAAATTGAAAAGTAATACTAAAATTATAGTTTTCTTTAGAACTTAAAAAAAAACTTCTCTAGGTCGAATACTCTGTTTGACATCAGCTTTAAAGGTTAGTGTTTTGAAAAGGCTATCTGACAGTAGCTTTTAGGGTTAACATTTTCAGAGTTAACCTACACCGTTAAAATTTAATCTAAAACACTAAAGCTAATTGAAAATGTTTTCCTAAACAAGGCTGAAGTAAATTGCTACTCCCTATCAAAGTGTCATAATATAAGTGCATTATTTGTATTCAAAATAAAAGTTTAATAGTGTAAATGATGATACTCTGATTATATATACTCCCTCCGTCCCAAAAAGATTTACACGTTTCAAAAAAATTGTGTCCCACAATCTCTTACCTATTTCTATTAAAAACCACTTTTACCCCTTACTTTTTCAACCCTATCTATCACACCATACCTTTTTCCTAATAATCTACACATTACATCTTATTTTTACCCATCACATCAAGGGTATTTTTGGAAAGTCAACACAAAATTATCCCTTCCTTAATTTCAACTTTAGTCAAAATGGGTAACACTTTATGGGACGGAGGGAGTATATATCAGTATAAATAGTGCGGTGTGATTTTGAATGGTGGGACTGGTGGCAACGTAGTTGTAGATCGTCGGTCAACGGTGTTCAGCCCCAATGACCGGCGGTGGCGTTTCAGGTGGCAGTGTCGTATTGTACGAATATGTAGTGTGAGAGTGATATGTCATAAAAAGACAATTACTCATACTTTATTATTTTCATCATCTTTGAATCATGTTTAGGTACCTATTTTTAAATTGAAAATATTTTACATAACGAACAGATTATTTTTATTGTTTTTTGGATGATGGATAATGTAGGCTCGAATATGAGATATACACACGATCATAGCGTACTTAGAGAGTGTTTGGGAGTGATTAACTTATTGATAAAGTGATTTCTACAAAAGCACTTCATACCTGCTTCTCCGAAACTGTGTTCCATGTACAAAATAATGTTAGTGAGAAGCAGAAGCTGACATGCCAAACAGAGTAAAATCACTTCCATTCAAAGCAGAAGCTAAATTGTTAAAAGCAGCGCACTGCCAAACACCCTCTTAGACTTTTTCCACGAATGTTGATGCATATCAAATCATGTCACAAACTCAAAATAAAAATGAATTTTTCTATAAAAATCTCTTCTCCTCGTGGTAAGTATATCCATCCTACCGTATTTGTTTATTTTGATTTTTTCGAATTGAACTAAACAAATTTTAATTATAAACTATTCTAAATTTTGTATTATATTTAATTATAGTTAAATAAAATTTATAAAATTATTTATGAGATAAATTTAATGAATCATTTTATATTTATATTCATTATTTGTTAAATTATAATTAGATTAAAAATTTATTCTGTTTGATTCAAAAAGTCAAATTCGATATGGTCACGGAGTTTTATTCAATGTACTGCATTATTACTCAGGGAGTCGGGGAATAATGGATTGGAGATGATCTCTTCATGTTCGTAAAAGATATTCCATATTCATTAGATGAGAAAATCTCACCAAATTTTGTTAGTTACTCCATCTGTCTCTGAGTAATTGTTCACTTTTGATTTTTTTGGTCAAAATTAATAAACTTTGACCTCAAATTAAATAAAAATGATATTAGATATTGATACAAAAAGAGTTTTATTAGATTTATTATATCAAGTATCTTCAAAATATTATTTTATCTAATTAAAAGACAATGCATATTTTATTTAATTATAAGTCAAGGATTGAAAACTGTTTACTAAAAAAGTCAAAACT